TGGCTGGTTGCTCTGCAACCATAGCTGTATGATAATTCAAGAAAAGCTGTGACTTGACAGATTAGTTCTCATTTTTTTGTTATTGGGGTTTTAAGAATGAGAGTAGCATTTTTTCTCTTTTCTACACACTGAGCAGAAGGCAGATGTCCATTTTACATTTTATGATCATCTATAAATTTGATTTTTTTTCTTGCCATACCTTACTGAGAAAACATTTGAAGGAAAAACCATTGTTTCCTGATGTATCAGTAATGCAAAAAATAAATCAATGAAAATATTCAGGTAGATGTGCATTATTTTTGGAAATTTATCTCCCAGAGAACAAGCAGTCATCTGAAAAATGAAAATGATCACATCGTTAGGACACATCTAATGTGGTGATATAGTGATTAATCAGGGTTTGAAATTTAATTATACCTTCCAATAGGTTGTTTCCTGCAGTTGCTTCTGACCCACACTCAAATCATTGTTTGTGATTTTCCTGAGACTTATACATTTTAAAGTATGATTGGATAACATTCACCTCTGCCAAGCTCAGATGTAGATTTATTTGCTAAAGGCTTTTAGCTAGATAGTCTACTCTGAAAGTTATAGGAATTCTTTAAGTATTTTGAAGGGAAACTAGTGATTAAAAAGAAAAACTAACTGCCTTTGTTATAGGGAAATCCAGCTGCCTGGAACATCTATAGTGTTAACAGTTGTATGGAAAATATTTATATTATGAAGTCATGCAAAAGAAATTCCTGAACATTATCCTAACATGATAATTTGCTACTCTGAGATTGTTTTTTTCCCTCAGAGAATGGCTATGAAGCCCCAATAGGTTTTAGCTATTTTAGGAAATTGTGTCATTTCATGAAGGCAGCTAGTTAGTCATAAACATTTATTGGACACCTTCTGTATTGGATGCCGTAGGAATCTGAAATGTTGCAAAAGAAATAATTAATCTGAATAATTGTCAGGTATGGCGTTTTCTCTGGATCCACTTTGTCTAAACCTGTAACTCCCAGTGATAATTCACCATCATACCATAGTCGCAGCTCCTCTGTTTATCACACAGTTCTATCCTTTGAGGTTGGGACAAAGCCAACTATGGATTTCCTCTTAGTGTTCTCCCATGAGCCTTTAATCTCTCTTATACCTGGCCAACTGGACTCCCCAACTCAGGAACATGGTCTGACACAGTTCCCCCACAACTCAAACCTTCTACCAGGTACCTCATTGAATGAAAACGTCCTCATTCACCTCCACAAAAAATCTAAGAAAACAAATTTATACCAAACTGTACTTTACCAAGACATCTTTCTTAAGAGGATATCTTTCCTATAATATTTGTATATGTTTTCCTTTTGATTTGAACAGAAGAAGACGGTATAACCTCACACAGGTATCTGTCTGCAGTCCTGCATATCACTCTGGGAGCTGGCTCCTAGTCTGTATGTAGGCAGACTCTGCCAACATTCATGTTCAGGAGCAGGCTGCAACGAGCATAGTGAGGTTGTTCTGTGCTATCTCCACATTGCTGCCTATTCATCTTCATGACACCTGTGTTAGGAATGCCATCTTTGGAAACAGGACAAATTTTTCTCTTCTCCTTTTTTTGGTTGAATTTTCATCTTGTAATTCCAGTGTCAGCTTAATGTTTAGCGCTTATTTAACTGGTACAAATCCCTATCCAGGGTTCTGAGGCTCTCAATGACATCAAGTTTCTAGGTAGGAAAAGATTACAGTAGTCCCTTCTTATCCGCAGAAAATATGTTCCAAGATTCCCAGTGAGTGCCTCCTTGGATAGTACCAAACCCTACATATACTATGTTTCTTTCTATATACACATACCTATAATAAGGTTTAATTTAAAATGAGGCACAGTAGGAGATTAACAAGAACATAATAAAAGAGAACAACTATAAGCAATATACTATCATCAAAGTTATGTGAATGTGGTCTCTCTCAAAATATCTTATTGTACTATACTCACTTATTTTCCAACCACGGTTAACTTTGGGTAAGTGAAACCATGGGAAGAGAAAGTGCAGGCAAAGGAGGATTGCTATATTCTCTCCTGACTTTAAACTGAATACAGAAGACCAATCATCCCTAATCATTCTCTCTAAGAAACTAACAGAGGAAGCACTCCTTCTTCTGGGTAAGCCTCCTTAGGTGGGCCTAAGACACTGTAGTGCAACACTGCTTACCCATTCCCAGTGGACCCAGTATGTTACTGCTTGGGCTTGGCTCAAGAGATACCATGGTGAAAAGACTTTGAGTGAATTAAGTTCTCTGTAGTCTGACCACTGTAAAGAAGTTGTTTTAAGTCCTCTGGTGTTGAATTGGGAAGCCAATACTGTAACCCAAGACCTACAATCAGTTTAGAAACACTTGTCAGAGAATAAAAAGAACCTTAGAGTTCAGTCAAGCCGATGTGCCACAGAGGTTAGGGATGGGTGTGAGAAGAGTCAAGCCCTTCTGATCCGCCTGCCTTGGCCTCCCAAAGTGCTAAGATTACAGGTGTGAGCCACTGCACCCAGCCAATAACATGCGTTTTTTAATGTACCAGAAAATATCGAAAAATGTAAAGAAGATGAAACCCACCTTTACAGCTGAAATAGCAGCTATCTGTTAGGTGTGAACTGGTTGATATGTTCATAGCTTGAAATCAGCCATAGTAAAAAGTATTTATGCCACAGAAAGAGGGAAATGGTAGTTCAACTTCAGAGAATCAGTACTTGTGTTCATTTTATTTTGTACCATTTAATACAATATTTGTTCTGATGTAAGAGTTTCCTCCTAGGAATGTGTACAAGTGTGCAAAGGTATATAAAAGAATATTCATTAAAATATTATTTTAAATACAGAAATATTAGAAATAACCTAAGTGGCCATCAAAAGGCTAATGGATAAGTTGTATTCAGTTATTTAGTGAAATACTATATAGCAGAGAGAAAATCAACAAATTAGAACCTCATGTATATGTATATATATAGAAATATGTTTAAAATAGATAATATTGAGATTTTTTAAAAAAAAATTGAATGCATAAATATATCACTTGTTGGAAATTTAAAATAGTAAAAACTGGGTGCAGTGGCTCATGCCTGTAATCCCAGCACTTTGGGAGACTGAGGTGGGCAGATCACCTGAGATCAGGACATCGAGACTATCCTGGTGAAACCCCATCTCTACTAAAAATACAAAAGTTAGCTGGGCGTGGTGGTACACATCTGTAACCCCAGCTACTCAGAAGGCTTGAAGGCTGGGGCAGGAGAATCGCTTGAACCCGGGAGGCAGAGGTTTCAGTGAGCTGAGATCACGCCACTGCACTCCAGCCTGGGTGACAGAGGGAGACTCTGTCTCAAAAAAACACAAAACCACACAAACAACAAAAAAAATGATGTTATTATTTTGGAATGTAGTTAAAGCATAAAAATATGAATACAAATGGCAAATATGATTTCAGATAGAGATTTCCTCTCTCAGGGAAATAGGACTGGGGATGAGTACCTAAGAGGTTTGAATTGTATCTACACTATTTTATTTTTTAACATGGTGGTAGACAGGTGTTTACTTTATTCTATATAATTTTTGTTCTGAAATATTTTATAACAATTTAAAAAAGAATGGGCCCATTTGATTTAAAAAAGCTTAACAGCCAATCAACAAGGTAAAGAAGGCTCAGGGATCTTGAGATGCTCAAAGTTACAATGATCTCCAAGCAAACCTAGGTGGTCCCTTCCAGGAGGGCCTCATAAATCTTATCATGCCTCCTGGAGAAGTGGCTCTCAAGCTTTAGCATGCTTATGGCACCTGTGATTCTCATTTAGTTGGTTTGAGGTTGGGCCTGGGAGATGGAATTTTTGTCAAGCACACCAATGATCTGGGTGGGGGTGATCAGGATACCTTTGAAAACCACAGATCAATCCCCAGGAGCCCATGATCCTTCAAGTCTTTGCCAGAGACTCATCACTAATAATTATCCAGCATCAAATAAGAATTGAGTATAGGATCCAAGGAGCATTAGAACTGTGACTTTGTATACTTGCTAGTAATTGTTTCTGTTTCATGCTCAACGTCATGAAACCCCCTGGAACCTGTGTGGTTTTGCTGGGGCAAGAAAAAATGTTAAAGTATGATGGAGAAACCTGCAAACAAGCCTTGAATGTCCACAAATTATCAGAGATGGAACTAATAGTGTAAGGGGAATTACATAAACAATAACTTGGCATTAATTGTGAATGGATGCCATTATATACTCTTCCCCCCATTACTAAAATAACATTTTTTCTTTTCTTTCTTTTTTTTTTTTTTTTTGAGACCAAGATTCATTTTTGTTGCTCAGGCTGGAGTGCAGTGGTGTGATCTCAATTCACTGCAACCTCCGCCTCCCGGGTTCAAGCAATTATCCTGCCTCAGCCTGCTGAGTAGCTAGGACCACAGTTGTACACCACCATGCCAAGCTAATTTTTGTATTTTTAGTAGAGATGGGGTTTTGCCACGTTGGCCAGACTGGTCTCAAACTCCTGACCTCCAGTGATCCACCTGCCTTGGCCTCCCACACTGCTGAGATTACACGTGTAAGCCACTGTGCCCAGCCAGTAACATGTGTTTTTTAACATACCAGAAAATATGGAAAAATGTAAAGAAGAGGAAATCCACTTTTACTACCACAGCTGAAACAGCAGCTGTTATGTGTAAACTGGTTGATGTGTTCATAGCTTGAAAAAAGTCACAGTGAAAGTTATTTACACCACAGAATAGGTAACTGGCATAAATGAGCCCTCACTCCTATCCTAGTCTTAGTTGTTAAACACTTGCTAGCAAACCGTTGAGCCATACACATACACACACACATATGTATTTATATATATGTTTATATGTCTATTTTCCCCCAATATTTAGATAATACTATAATGCAGCTTTAAACTGTGTGTGTTTCTGACCCAAAGAATATCTGAGCTATCTTAGGAAATTAATAGAACATCTCTTTCTCATATCCTGTGTAGGGGGAACAAGGACCACAAGGCTTTCCAGGGCCAAAGGGCACAATGGGCTATGGCCTCCCAGGCCAGAAGGTAAGTATCTCAGGATCTTAGAGAAATGCCTAGGCTTACAATCTCAGTAGCTTAACTTTCACTTTGGAAGAACCCTAATATATGTGTCATGCCTCCCCCTACAACTCTCAGAAGAAAAAAAAATCTACTTGAAATTAAATCCTTATGCATCGCTTTTTCTACCTATAAATAGGTTTACTTTATAAAATGTCCTTCTCTTTGAGAGGTTGAAACAGGGGGATTGCTTGAGGCCAGAAGTTCAAGACCAGCTTGAGCAATATAGTGAGATCCCATCTTTACATTTAAAGAAAAAAAACTCATTTTCTTTATTCTCAGAAGATAACTAATAAAGGAATAAATCCTACAACATACTATGTAGGAGATACCAGATAACTCAGGTACCTGGTAAATTGTGTAATAGTTGAATGTCCTGAAAGGTGAGCTGATTAGATGGTATTGTATCTCAAGGTCTCTTCACTCTGAGACCTCTGGCTCATCATGAATTAGAGGATGGTATCTGATGACATGTAAATAAATTACCCCCAGTTTTTTTTTCAAACATTATATTTGTATGAACAAGAAGTGAAGGTCTTTAAGAGATACCAATTGCAGATAAACAAAATTGTAGACCTTTTCTTATCTGGTTTTTATATTTACATTCTGAACCTATGATTTTACGTTATTGTAAAGGGAGAGCACGGAGACCAGGGTGATGTAGGAAAGAAAGGCGATAAAGGAGAAATTGGAGAGCCTGGATCTCCAGGAATACAGGCAAGAAGTAGTTTTTAATGTCTCATTATGATTTTATACTCTAACTGGTTCTAAAATATATTGACTTTTACTCTTTTTCCAATAAGTAGGGTTTACAAGGACCTAAAGGAGACCTAGGACTTACAGTGAGTATCCATTCTAGAGGGTAATTGAGGGTTTTGTGGTTGCAAAATTATTGCATTCATGCTTTAGCTTTAGAATTATGAATTTTTTGGATGCAGAATTCCAGTTGCTATTTAAATGAGAGCAACTACTGCCAGCCTAGTGTAGACTTAGATGCATGAAGTAATTGAATCTGAATATGAGGGAAGAAATAACACCAGGGGCCTTGTCCTGGTGGGTGTGTGTGACCACTCCCCTCAGATCCTCGGTAGAAATGATCACACTGCTATTATCGGCAACAAGGAGGTGAGCTGTTTCAAAAAAGCCAAATTACCAAATGTCTTTATTTTATATGGTCCATCTCAATTTAGAATGCGGGCTCTTTTTTCCTGAACTTGTTGCTTTAGAAGTGTCCTGAGGAGAGCAGCAATCACAAAATTGGAATTGCGTCTATGTATTGATTCAATTATTCAGTAGGTATTTGTTGAGCATCTAGAAACTTTTTCCTATTCTTCTCCCCACACCATTAAGAACAGAAAACTGACTCTTGAAAATCTCGCGAGTGGGAAGGCAAAGTCTAATTCTTCCTTTCTGATTTGAAGGCTGTGCATCTTGTGGAGTTGAGGAAAAACAGGGATCTTTTTTTTTCCTGTTGGACGTTTCCAGGCGTCATGGTGTGGGGGACTGGTTTGATGTACTGTGCTAGGAATGTTCAAGTGTGAGGGAGAGGGAGTTCAGGTGGTAAAGGCAAGAGCTGAGAGCTGATCATGTGACCAACAGAACTGCACGTGTGTTCTGTGGCCTGTCTGCCTTTTTCTGTTTGTTGTTCCCCACCACAAGTCTGACACCTAAAGATGCCCATAGTAGATGAAGTAGCTATATATGCAGCAATTTCTCCCCAAAAGTAGCAGGGGAGAGTGTATGTAAATGAGCAGAGGAATGTTCCCTGTGTGTTTATACCTGCCCTACTGTCCCAACATGGGGATTGGGATTGGTTTCCTTTCTCCATTCATTTATTCATCATTCATTTCACCAACCTTTATTGGACACATCCAGTAAACCTTACTCTGGATCAGGTTCTGAAATGGCACTGGGAGAATAGTGGAAAGCAAGGCTACCTCTCGGGATTGAAGGAGCACATAGCCTGGTGGAGAGAAAGACAACAAAGGATGCTCACCTATGGCATGAAAAATGCTATGATAGAAGAAGTGGTCTGGGGGTCCAGAGCAGACAAAATGGTGTATGATGGTGTTTCAGGGCAGGATAAGCTTTATCTATTGAGTGGAAGCTTTTCAACCAAGAGACAGAGACCTTAGAAGTAGGGACATTGTTCTGCTGACTTGGCTTTCTAGATGCTGGAAGAAGAGGCTAGCAAGAAGAGAAGAGTGAAGGAAAAGAGAATTTAGTATGTGACAGGCTCTGTGTTAGGCTCCTCTATATCAGTACATGTTACCCAGTACTGCAGGGTGTTTTAGAGGTCCCTTCTCTGGAACTCTGGTCCTTCTCCAGCTGGGCTCCTTCCTCCGGGTGAGAAGTCCTTGGGGCCAAAGGGCACACACATATGTCCCTCTGTGCCACACTCTGGATGCATGAAATTCCAGAATTCTCAGTTCAAATGGCCACAGGTTTAGAGAGCTGAAGCACGGGCCTTGATGCATGGAGCCAGCCAAGAGATGGCCAAACAGCAGATGATTTCAGGGGATTTGGACAGAGCTTGGAAATGAGGACTGGCTTCACTGCATGAATGCTGGCCAAAGTCCCATGCAGTGTAGGACTGGTGGGTTGTGGTACAAGAAGAAGGAGGCAGGCTGATGGCCATAACCTTCTCTTACCTAAGATCTCACCTTTACTCTGCATGACAGTTCCGTGAGGTAGACAGTATCTCACATCAAATGGAGACATACAATAAGGTTGATAATTACGCCCAAAGTCATCTAACTGGTACATAGCAGAAGCCTTATAGCTAGAGGTAGCCTATCTGATACCAAATTCATGCTGCTCCCCCATGAAAGCTGTTCTTAGAAGGCCTCTTTCCTCTCCTCCCTCATCCTTTCCCTGATCAAATGTATCCCCCAAAGCTATCAATTGTGCAGATTCATTTCAGACTAACACACACTTCTTTTAAGAGGTAAATGGCATTGATGGCATTAAATGTTTTAATATTTCTCATAGAATTACTTAAAAAGACTCTGTTTCTCCACCTTCCACTTCAGTGTTAGCATTTTCCAATGTCTAGCCTCTCAGTCTTTCCTGTCTTCAAACTCTCAGGGAATGCATCCCCTAAAAGCAGGGAGACATATAGTTTGAAAAGGCTAATTCAATAGCACAGTGAAAGCATATGGCAAATAAAAAAAATTGTGTTTTTATATTTAAACAGAAAGAATATATTTGTCAAATGTGGGGTATGGGAAACACGCTGGTTTTAAAAAGGCTGAGAAGCCCTGATCCAGGCAATCTTTTTTCAGTCCCTGTTTTAACAGCCATTTGTACGTTGGCATTTCTCAAATGTGCCTCCTACTTGGATAGGTCTTCCGAGCACCAGATCTCATATCCTACTGCCTGTGGACATCTCTAGTTGGATGTCTTAGACACATGAGATTCAGCCAGACTCAAGCTGGGCTCAATTGAGCTCCTAACCTGCCCCTTTCCCACTCCCGCCTCTCTCAGAGTATGGACCCCGCAGAGTATGGCCCCGCCATCATTTGCCTCCTCTTAGACTTCTTCTTTCCCTCATCCTTTCTTCCAGTTACTCACCAAGCCCCTTGTTCTCCCTCTGGAATGTCCCTGCAGGTCTGTTCTCCACATCCATTACTTCTGATGGCTTTTTTTTTTTAACCTGCATTATTTAGGAACCTCAAACCCCTCCCCTGGTTGCTATGATCATTTCTTTTAAATAAAAGTCCCACCAGAGCTCTTCTCTGTCTAGGGATCGGGCGAGTCCCATTGCCCAGGATAAAGTTCACACTCTTCAACATGACACAAAGGTCTTCGAGAGTCCCTCTGTCTCCAACATTTCTTGTCATTGTTTTGGCTACGTGCCCCGATTCCTAAGCTTACTCTGGTACTGTAATGCAGCGTGCTCTGAGAGAAGGCTGATCCTCTTGCCTGAATGCTCCCACTTGCTATCCCAACCTGGTCAGGGTCTGCCTCCTTGGACCACAATCCCCTTCCCATTCTTCTGCCCCAGGAATACCCAGCAGATCAAGATTGTTCCTTGGCTCTGCAGAGCACTTAAAAAAGTCTTCGTTTGTCTGCCTCTTCCGAGACTACGAATCCTTTGAGGGGTATAAATGTGATGCCTTCATCACTGGCACCAAGTAGCCAAGGTAGTTATTCAGTGATTTTAGTGGAAGGAATAAACTCTTCCAGTCACTTAAATGCAAAGAATATGAAGAAAAAAATTTAAATATATATATGGTGACTTCAAGCATCCTAAACCTGATTATGCCACAAAAATATGTTGAAAAATTAAAATCCAACCTTGATACATGCATTGCTCCTATAAGCCAATAAAAGATATTCCCACAGAAAAAGATAGGGCAAAGAACATACAAAGATATGCGCAAGGGAATACAATTTGGAAACTTGCATAGGAAATGGAAAGTAGCCTCATGAATAATTTAATAAATATAATTTAAAAAAATGAGAAATTTTGCTCTATTAAGTGGAAAAGATGATATAATAATAGTTGCCAATATTGTGTGGCTAAAATAAAATGGGTTTTCTTATTACTGCTGTTGAAGCTGTCAGTTACTACAACTTTCCTGAAGTATAGTATGAGAGTGTGAATCACAGAGCCTTAAAGTGGCCATACATTCAATTTCAGTAATCAGGTTTTTCATAATCCTTAATAATGTGGAAGATGAATTATAATATTGTATTAAGTGAAAAATTACAACCATACAAACTTGGTATTTTCTCCATTTATAAAAAATTAAACAAATATATGCATACATATATCTCCCCTTTCTAGATATACTAAATATAAATATACAAATACATACATTTTGCCTTTCTATACATATTCTTGTTTCAGATTTTTAAAAAGGCTTTTTAAATGTGGAAAAGCATGGCAAGGCCTAGAAAAAAAGATGACTGTTGACTCTCTCATTTTGAAGAATTGTGTTATATAACTCAGCACTGCAGTAGAAGTTCTTTTTAAATAGCCAGTTGGAATCATTAGCTTTTACTCAGTTTACAGCTTAAAAAGTTAAATTACTGCAACCTCCACCTCCCGGATTCAAGTGATTCTCCTGTCTCAGCCTCCCAACTAGCTGGGATTACAGGTGCTCACCACTACGCCCAGCTAATTTTTGTATTATTTTAGTAGAGACGGGGTTTCACCATATTGGCCAGGCTGGTCTCAAACTCCTAACCTCAGATGATCCGCCGGCCTCGGCCTCTCAAAGTGCTGAGATCACAGGCATGAGCTATCACACCTGGCCTGACATTTTATACAATAAATAAGATTTGCCTGTTTTTGAACTTTAAATAAATAGATTAAAACAATAAGCTCTCATTCTTGGTCATCTTATTTTACTCCAGGTTGTTCCCACTCTTCCATCACTGGACCCTGGATTCATAGTGTATGCATTTTGTAAAAATGTTTCAAGCTGTTTTTAATGATATATGTGTGTAAAATTAAAAACAAGAGTTTTTATGTTATATGTGTATAAAATTAAAAATATTTCTCATCAAAAAGAAGTTAAATTAAAATACTCTCAATATTTCCCATATATTCTACTTTTAAGCCATGTTACTGGCTATATCACCTCTACCTCAATTCTGTCATTATAGACTGTTCTTAAAAATTTTACTTCTGTACCTGTTAAATTGTTTTTTCTTAAATTGGGTCCACTGGTCCTTCCTGTTGAGATCTAGGCTTCTATTAATCATCTCTTTTAGCTTCAAGTGTTTGGCCAATGTAGAAGCCTGTCTTCTCTAGTCCCATTGTAGTTAGTTATAAACACACTGCACAGGGAGGGGCATTGGCAGCTATCTTTCTAGTACCCAGCTCATTTCAGGCCCTTTCAATGAAGCTTGTGGGCAGCAGGACAAGGAAGGGGCATTCAGGAACATGGGGAAATGTCACGGAAAAGCCAAAGTGAGAGTGTTAAGAGGCTAAAGAGAGGACTTGAAAAATCAGGAACTAGTACAGAAAAAGAAGAGAAAATACAGCATAGAATGAATTCTCTCTGGGTATTGGGGCTTGTCTTGGTTGCTCAGCATAGGTGGTTTAAATTGTATAACTGAATGAATGCACCGCACCACCGTAGGTATGGTAAAGTTGCCAGACCCTGTGCTAAGATGTACCTTAACAGTGCTTAATCCATACCATAGCCCTGAGACGTAGATACTGTTAGGGCACCAGATGCCCAAGGTCACGCAGCTGATAAATGCTGCGTTGCAATTTGAATTCCAAAAGTCTCAGCTATTAAGTTTCACAGCTCAAATGCATTTTAGTTATGATATAGTCAATGTTTGACTTCTGTTATTTATTTTATTTTCTGCAGTGGAAAGATTCAGTCAAATGGTCCAATGCTGATTGTAATAAGATATCTTTTTATGGCCACAGGAAAAATATTATAGTCATACATTTAGTGGTAATACATTTTTCTTTTTATCCCCCAGAAAGAAGAAATTATCAAACTTATTACAGAAATATGTGGTAAGATTTGACTATCAAGAAAAAAACATTAAAGTATCACCCTACTATGTACTGTGTTGGTGAGAGAATGTGTTCATGCAGATGTATATTATATAGCTAGTGGGAAAATGTGAGGTTCATTTGAAAAGTCAATGGAAACTGAAAGGAAGCAGTAACAGAGACTGTGGGAATCCTGATGTAAGAAAATAAAATCATCTTCCCAGGCTAGTTAAGGCATGTGAAGGTGCTGGCCTAGAATGTGTAGGCAGCCAGGCCTTTCTGTTAGCACAGTGCTCATTTGTATCCAGTGACATTTACCTGAGCTGAGAGGAAAAACTCAAAAAAGGAAATACAACTACAAAAGCCCAGCTGGTATTTGAGTCCAGCCTAGCTGGTGATTAGAATGTCTGTGTTTTTCCTGAAGCTGTGAAATCTTTCTGAGTTGAGTTTTGAGTTGTACTCGGTCCCAAAGGTGGGAGGACAGAGTCAGGTGTTCATCTTGCTTCACAACTACTAAATACTTCCATGACTGAATGGCAGACTTAGAGTCACAAGAAAGAGGAAGTGAAGGAAAGAAATTAGCCAAAAGACAAGAGACTAATGGAATAATGATGGGAGAATCTTCCGGGTTTAAAGTGGTCAGAGGCAGGCATATCATTGTCCTTCTGTACAGAGAATCCCAGAACCAGCTTATTCCCTAAAAGACTGCTGGGCCTAAGAAACAGCCTAGAAGTCTCTCTGATGAGAGGCCAGTCTAGACATGGCTTTCAGGTTCTAGAAGTCTTGTAAAAATAGCACATGATTTCCTGATGGTTTTCTGTAGTAGGCTTGTTAAACAACAACATGAAGATATGAATAAACAAACAAAACCCTGATAACGTATTTCCTGGTGACTCTAGCAACTGCTTTAAGTGGTTGTTTATCAACCTAAATAGAAGATGTTTTTCTTCTTCTTTTTGGAGATGGAGTCTCATCAGTTGCCAGGCTGGAGTGCAGTGGCGTGATCTCAGCTCACTGCAACCTCCGCCTCCTAGGTTCAAGCCATTCCCCTGCCTCAGCCTCCCGAGTAGCTGGGACTACAGGTGTGCACCACCACGCCTGGCTCATTTTTTGTATTTTAGCGGAGATGGGGTTTTACCATGTTGGTCAGGATGGTCTTGATCTTCTGACCTCGTGATCCACCAGCTTTGGCCTCCCAGTGCTGGGATTACAGCGGTAAGCCACTGCACCTGGCAAGGGCTTTTAATTGGCAAGTGTTCTCTGGGATCACTCCCCTCAAAAGTTTTTAGCACAGATGTACTGCTGGCCTCCTTGATAACATGAAAGCTGCCATAGTTGTCACTGTGGGTAATTGGAGACATAAACTAGAGTAGTTAGGGATAGCTGTTCCTAGGTACATTTAAGGTCCCAGTCCTTCCACCACAATGACAATTTTTCATCCCATTACTTCATCCATTGGCCAGGCTGGTGAGCAAATCTCAATTTTCATGTAAGGCTATGGCTGAAGACTGAAATATTAGCTCTCATATTCAGATTAAATACAATAGTGGTATGATAAAGAGCAAATGTAGGATGGTGGTTTCCTCTTTGGGAGAGGAAGAAGAATGTTATTGGGAAGGCATCCACAGGGTATGCTAACTCTTTTAAAAATATTTTACTTTTTAATCCAAGAAATAAGCACATAAGTATTTAATATTTTATCTACTACAGTGTTTTCCCCATACACACACACACGCACGCATACGAAAAAAATATATATATATGTGTGTTTTAAAAGAGTCAATTGTAGATCCAGAAAGGAGACAGCCATCAGATATTTTCACAATCACAGAAAAGGAAGAGAATAATTGAGGTTTCAGGTTCATCATTGCCTTTTTCTCCCCTTCCCTCACCAGTCTGACACCAATCATTCCGTCAATGTTTCTATCTCAATATTCATCTTTTAGGTTGTGGGCCCAAATGCAAAGAGACTCCACTAGAGCTGGTGTTTGTGATTGACAGCTCAGAAAGCGTGGGGCCAGAGAACTTCCAGATCATCAAAAATTTTGTGAAGACTATGGCTGACCGAGTTGCTCTGGACCTTGCCACAGCCCGCATAGGCATAATCAACTACAGCCATAAGGTGGAGAAGGTGGCTAATTTGAAGCAGTTCTCCAGCAAGGATGACTTCAAGTTGGCTGTGGACAACATGCAGTATCTGGGGGAAGGCACATACACAGCCACTGCTCTCCAAGCAGCCAATGACATGTTCAAGGATGCAAGGCCAGGTGTAAAAAAAGTGGCCTTGGTCATCACTGATGGGCAGACAGATTCTCGTGATAAAGAGAAACTGACAGAGGTGGTGAAGAATGTCAGTGACACCAATGTGGAGATATTTGTAATCGGGGTGGTGAAGAAAAATGATCCCAACTTTGAAATATTCCACAAAGAAATGAATCTAATTGCTTCTGACCCAGAGCATGTTTATCAGTTTGATGATTTCTTTACCCTGCAAGGTAAGGAAGGCTGTCTGGCCCAGGGCAAAGGCATTTGTGTTGTTCCTCCAAGTACCATCTCACTGGTTTGTCCTGACCAAATAGAAAATTCTGGAGGTTAGTAAGCTTTATGCCAACATTAAATTGTAACACATAAACTCCAGAAGATAAAAACATGTAGTTTTATTCAGTTTGGAGGTTACAATCCCTTGTCTTTATTCAGGGTTAATAATTGCTGAGTTGGCCTTGGAGTTAACTAGAGTCCATGGTCAACAGACAGGAATGAAGAGAGAGAATAGGACTTGGGGGTATTGCTAACATTGGTTAAGGTTCAGAAAGTTGCCTAACTAAAATAAGGGATTGAGCAAGCCAACAGCAAGGCAGAAAATAGTCATGAAATAAAAATTAAGAAGTGCATATTGAATGAAAAAAAGTTATGGTCATCTAAAGAGATGAGAAATTCAAGTAACTGGGATGAATTAGAGGGCATGGTCTATTTTCCGTTTTTATGAAAGCAAATAATGATGAGTAAACAGGAATGTATCTCAAAGAACACCATTTTAAAATTCATTGTACAGTCAGTGCTAATCTGATAGGCTTCTCTATTCTAAGTTTATCCTTTCATGTTAACTGATATTTACTAATGAGCCATCCTAGGACACTGACTCATCTATGATTAAATTATGGTCAGTATGACTGTATAATGACATTTATCCCAGTTCTTTGGAAACTGATGATTCATTCTGGCAGGACTGTACCTGGCAAGTCTGTGAAGTAAGTGAAAGGCTTCAGTTTGCCTTTGTCCTTCCTCCTCTGCCCACCTGGGAGTGGGGTCTGACGTGGTTGGGCACAGCCCACCAGTGCCTCATGCCCTGCCTACTCCGTGTACCAGCACAACTGGCCCTATGGAGAGCATACCACACTCAGAAACTTTCCGTTTACTGTTTCTCACCTTCTCCAGAGCTTTCTAACATGGGGTTCCACTTCCTCATTACCCTGCTGGCTGACTGGTGCGTTTATCTGATATGTTCAGTCTCACTGCGGTTTGAATGTGTTTGAGTAGCCAGAGCCATTTCAGAGCCAACTCATATTTTAATCTTTGAAGAGCTTTATCATTCTATCTGGAGTTAGTAATTTGTTATAGCCAGTAAGGAATGTATTTTTCAACTGGGTGGCTACTTGCTATACCTAATACCATGGGTAGTTGCCAATTCAACTTATTATGGGTGAGGCTAGCTCTTGACATGGAGTGATTCATGGTGAACAGAGATACTTTGGAAGAACATACATTAAAGTCATTCTTTTGCCTCTTCGTGTCATCATATATATTTAATTATTTTAGATGACCTCTTACACAGGATGTAAAAAACGCTTTTATAAGTTAGTTAACTTAGCAGTTGATTTCAAGTAATAGGAAATTACATATTTTAAGGAGAGTGCAGATCTTCATAAATGAGTTTTAAGTATTGTTTCATTGCTTCTACTATCTCTCTTTTTGATTTCTTTTTTAAAAGACACCCTGAAGCAAAAGTTATTTCAAAAAATTTGTGAGGATTTTGATTCCTATCTTCTTCAAATTTTTGGTTCATCATCACTTCAACCTGGATTTGGGATGTCAGGGGAAGAACTCAATGAATCTACTCCAGAGACTCAAAAAGAAATTTCTGAGTCAGTAAGTAACTGTCTCACTTACTTTGTGGGCTTAAAATGGTGTATTCTCTCTGTTTCATATCAAAGATTATTCTGCCCTGCATTGTCAAGAATCAGCCGAAGTATGTGTATTTTTAGGTTGTTGGCTTTAAGTGTTAGCATCTTGACTGTAGATTTCCATTCTGAAATAGCTTTAGGTTTTGTAGGGTATTTTTTTTAACACTTCCATATTTTATAAATAATTGTTTATTATATATTGCCAATAATATTTTTATATTATACCCCTATCACCATTAAAGTAATCATGTATGCTAGGATAGATTAACACGACACTCTGAATTCACCTACTTGGCATGCTGTGCAGCACCTTTCATACCAGGCCACAGCTCTCCCTGTTCATCTGTGCATCTGCTTCCCACTTTGTACCCTCTCAAGTTTTTTCTAAATATGCATATGCTCAATTGGCCACTCTCCCACACTCCAAGTCATGCTTTTGCTCATTTGGCTGCCACCTCCTGTGCTCTGAGTGAGGACTGTGAGGGAGGCTATATATGCATATGGTGCAAGGTAGATGCTCTGTTTCAGAGCCCCTCAATCACATAGCTTCTGAAGAACCACCTCCTGAATCAATTGAGACAAATGTGACTGTTATAGCAAGCTTATGGGAAGTTACTTCAGCCAATCAAATTATGGGCAAATATTAGTTTTTTTAAGGAGAAAATAGGGGAGCCTTTCATAGTCACTGATGAGTGCTATAGTCTCTTCCCCACCAAGTTGCAACTTGGGCAAGTCTAGACCAATTTCTGTTACCCAGTAGACATCCTCTGGCAAGCACGCACATGGCAGTCATGCCCCTGTTATGTAAGTTCAGTGAAGTCCTTGCACTGCCCTTTTTTGAAGCTTTCATGTACATGAAACAGTGATCATAAGCATAGGCAACAGTGTTCTAACATTAGCATTCAGTGAACAGTCTGGTTAGACTAAGGGCCTAAGGAACATTCAGATCAGTAGTTGGACCCAGGGCCATTCAGGAATCAAGCCTAGGATACCATTCCTAAGGGTACAGACTATAGTACTCAGTACATTCTCATACCCTGTTCACAAAAGGGAAGAAAGGCCTCTAACCTATTTCTATTTCATTAAATAGCAACCAACTGCAAAATCTCCTGAGCATGGACTGCTACTGGGGCTTCGCATGTTTGTGTGACTTACCACTTTGTCCCTCTCCTAGTCAATCATCATCCCTTTCTAAACTCTTCCTAAACAAGAGCAAGCTCAGGTTTCATCCAGGAAGTGATGCTTCAACTGAGCCCTCCTTATAATCACTGAATCACATTTCTTGCTATATTAATACCAATGAATTCCAGTAGCATGTATTGATCATTTACTGCTGTGATAGATGGTGTGGCTCTTAAAACATGGCTCCTTCTTGAGAGAAACTCACATTCTTTCAGGGAGATAGGTAAGTACAATATGCATTATGAATTTTAGCAGAGCTATGAAGGAAGCACAAAGATGATGCAATTAATTTCAGGAGATAGTAATAGGAAAGTGTCTTAGTCTGTTGGAGCTGCCGTAACAAAAATACCATAGACTGAGTGGCTTAAACAACAAACATTTATTTTTCACAGTTCTGGAGGTTGGGAAGTCTAAAATGTGGTGTTTGGTGAGGGCTTGCTTTTAGGCTTTTAAACACTCACCTTCTTGTTGTGTCTTCACATGGCTGAGAGACAGCTCATCTCTCATGTCACTTCTTATAAGGGCACTGATCCCATTCTTGAGGGCTCCACCCTCATGACCTAATCACTTCCCCAAGTCCTCACCTTCAAATACCATCACATTGGGGATTCAGGTTTCAATATATGATTTTTGGAGGGATATAAACATTTAGTTAATAACATAAGGCATCACAGAGGAGGTGACATTGAGTCAAGTTTTAAGAATAACTAGGAGTTTTTCAAAAGAAAGGCAGGGGAAAGGGTATTCCCAGCAAAAACAAAAACAAAACAAAAAAACTTGTAGGCAAAGAGAGATTTTAAAGTGCCATGGCATTTCAAGAAAGTTGAACAAGTTGAGTCTAATTGTAACCCAGGGTGTGGGAGGCAGAGTGATGAGAATTAAAGCTGGACAAGTAATTTAAGTACTAAATTAAATACATTAAATGTCTTAATGTATTAAGGCAAGGAGCTTGAACTTCATATATAGGCCAGGCAGCCAGAGACAGCAGAGAATTTGTAAAAGCAAGAGTCATATAGCCATATTTGGTTCACAGAATAGCCCTAGTTGCTATGTGAAACATACCTAGGGGAAGGAGGTGAGGAGTCTGGAGACTGAGATATGAGGCGTGATAGTCCAGAGAAGTGATAATGAGGCCCTGAAAGACGGCGGGGCAGTAGGAATAAAAAGGAGGAACAGATTAAAAAGCCATTTCTAGGGTAGAATTAACAGGATATAGAGATTGAAAGGATTGGAGGTTAGGGAGAGAGAAGGGTTTGAGTAGGACTACTGCATTTCTAGTATGGAGATGAGATGGATTGAAACACTGTATACTGAGATGGAGAATATAAAAGGCAGGGTTGGCTTTTTTTTTTAGAGTAAAATAGTGAGTTTAGTTTGCACCATGTAAAGTGGAGGTGCCTGAGGAACATCCAAGATAGTTATGACACAGAATGAGGAAAAGTAAGAACAGATGCCTCTGTATTATGTCCCAGGAAGCCTGATGGCCTTGAGAGACAAATGACATTAACAGGCTAGGACAGTTGAAGCTTTCTAGTAGCTGGAGAGGGGAGGAAATAAGAAAAAATACAACTGAAATTGTGTGAATTTATAACACCAAGAGCCACAAGAAGGGAAACTGAACATCAGCTAGGTCTCTCTAGAGGAACTTTGACCCAGATAGTGAGACCTAGCAATGAACTTGACCTTCTCGGATATTGCCTCTTGTCTCTAGATTTCCTTATTAAGAAGCACCAATGCAAAACTGAATTTTAAAAAAATTATTTCCTTATAGATACTTAGTTTGAACAAGCGTTTGTGCTTTTATATTCACGTTTAAATCTCTGACATATAGTCATGCATCGTTTAATGAGAGGGACACTTTCTGAGAAATGTTTCGTTAGGCAATTTTGTTTTTGTGTGAATATCATAAAGTGTACTCACACAAACCTACATAGTATAGCCTAATACACACCTGGGCTCTATAATTAGAGCTGTCAAAAATGTTTACTGGGTAATGTCAGAATGCAGGCTATTTTACTGCACTAATATATGAGAGGTTTAAACAGAATAAAATCCTGCCTTCCACCCTTTATGAAAGCCCAAACTCAAGGTGTTCCTAAAGGCCCTCAGCAACTTTAAAATGCAAATAAATAACCTTCGGTTTAAGTATTTGAGTGTAGAGAGACCTGACAAAGAAGTGTTATTGATTCTTGGGGAGAATCAATCAACAAGGACTCCTGAGAAGCCAGACAACTTGAAGGCTTCAGCTGTGGAGCCAGCTGGCAGTAGAATCCCCAGAGCCAAATTGGAGAAATTTTGACCCACACTAGTGGGAAAACGCTAAGTCTTAACACAAACACTAATGCAAATGATCATTAGCATTCATCCAGAGAAGACATACGCTCAGATTTGAAGACTTTGTCTGTAATATATGCAAAATTCTGAGTAAAAAAATATGAGGAAAATGTTTGGAAATCAGAAGCGAAAGACCTTTTGTGTGTGTTGCACCTAATCAGCAATCCTCCTTAGCTCATGCTTGTATGTTCTTGGGATACTGCACTGAGTCTGTTTTCCTCCCCTTAAAGATCAGCTCAAAGGCTGAAAGAGAATGGTGATAACACGTCTGCTTGTCCAGCTACACAGAACAGCCCTGGACTCCAGGTGTCAGCCCTCATGTGCCCCTAGACTCCTCTTTTGTGCCTTTTACTATAGTGTCCCTGCTTGGAGCTGAAGTCATCCTTCTTTCCTAAGGCAGGCCAGTGTGGTAGGAGTAGAGGTGCAGAGGACAAGTCAAGGCAAGCTTGTGTTTTCGGATCTAAGATTTATTAAAAAGAATAGAAATACAACAAACACCTCACTGAGTACTCATCCCCCAGAAGTAACTAGTGTTTCCATTTGTTCATTCATTCTTGCTCCAGATAAAGTCCTAGCTTTTTCCCTCCAGAGCTCTTTTTCCTCCTCTCTCCAGAGGTAACCACTATCGTGAACTGGGTGTTTATTCTGCCAGCTGTTCATGTTGTTGAATCCAACTTTTAGAGTTGAAAGGTATGTTAGGGCCTAACCTTTTTTATTTTAAAAATGATGATGTTAAAGTCTAGAGGAATTAAATAATGCAAATTTATCTCTTTCTCTTTCGTTCTTTGCGTATCCTGATTAAGTTCAACCTAAAGATGAGTGTAACAAAAAGATTAACCCATTGTGAATTTATTCAATGGATACTTTTTGCTGCCTGTTCTATGCTATGGAGATAGAAAAAAAAAAAAAAAGAGGTAGAGAAAGAAGAAAAGAAGGAAAGATATGACATAATTTCCCTTATCAGGGAAGTGGTATTTATACATATGAAACAGTAAATAAGATAGTGAAGGGGAGGAAAATTTTTCTTTTTCCTCTACCCATCTTAGGATTATTAGCTAGGGCCTTGTAAATTAGACTGACGAAAGACAGATTAACAATAGAAAAGCACACAGAAGTTTATTAACATGTAGCATATACACATAGGAGCATGGACCTGAGTAGTTCAAAGGGGTGGTTAGCACTTGGCCTTATATAACATCTTGTTTTTTTTTTTTTTTGAGACAGAGTCTCTCTCTGTTACCCAGGCTGAAATGCAATGGTGTGGTCTCAGCTCACTGCAACCTCTGCTTCCTGGGTTCAAGTGATTCTCCTGCTTCAACCTCCCAAGTAGCTGGGACTACAGGTGCTTGCCACCACACCTGGTTAATCTTTGTATTTTTAGTAGAGATGGGGTTTCACTATGCTGGCCAGGCTGGTCTCTAACTCCTGACCTCATGATCCTACCACACTTGGCCCTACATAGCATCTTAATGAAAGAACAATAGAGCTTAGAGGAGTGACAAGACAATGGAAAAGGACTTTCTAGAGCAGCAGATGGTGGGAAGGTAAACCTACGTGTGAGCTAATGGAAGATAATGATTAGTGAATAGTTTGTTATGTAGAGTCCTGCAGTGTATCTCTGGGCTAAGTAAGGGTCTAGAGTCCTCTCGAGTTATTTACTCTGATTTTCCTAATAGAGAGGAGGGACACCTTTATGAATGTATATCCTGCATTTAGACTAATGAGCTGTATCTGCTTCCCAATTGCCTTTAGTTCAAAATAATCAATGTGCTAAAGTGGTGTATTTTGGGAGGCATATTCTGTTATTCTTCCATAGGATAGACCTAAAGGCTAAATTCTACACAATCAGTGCTAAGTATAGAAGAGTCAGAAGGTACTGTGCATCATCTAGAAGGGGAGAATCAGTACTGACTGGGTTATTGGAGAAGGTTTTGCAGATGGAGTCCAATTTTTCCTAGGCTATGGTGGAAATGTTGATATTGACAGCCTGAGGCAGAATAATGAGGAAGAAGGAATGAAAGGGAATAGTGAAAAGCAAGGTTAGAAAAATGTGCAGGAGGCTGGGCATGGTGGCTCACACCTGTAATACCAGCTACTTGGGAAGCTGAGTCATGAGAATTACGTAAAGCTGGGAGGTAGAGCTTGTAGTGAGCCAAGATTATGCTACTGCATCATCCAGCCTGGGCAACCGAGCAAGACGCTGTCTCAAAAATACAATACAATAAAATACAACACAATACAATACAATACAATAAAAGTTATAGAGTCACAGTGAAATATACAGAATGATCATAATTAGTATATTTTACAATAGCACATAGAAAACCAAACATACAGTATTTTTTTATAAAAACAAAAAAATGTATATGCAGATAGAAAAAAAGACTGGGGAAAGATACACCTGAATACCAACAATGATTATCTTTAGAAGGTAGAATTACTTCTGATTTCTATTTTCTCTTTTTAATATCCACATTTTCTAAAATTCCCTTCAATTAACATGCTTGCTTTTGTAGTTAGGAAATTATAAAAATTGCAAGCCATAATTACGCATTTGTTGAAATAATCTGACATCTCACCGAGCGAGAAAATTAATGAAATTATTTTCATTTATTAAAGTTAATTTTGCTTGTCTTGGAATCTGTGGTGTAATGTTAACAGATGTCAAAATTTCCAAATGATTATGTGATTGAGAAAGAAAACACACACTCCTAAACTTAGAAAAGGTAAAAAATAACTTCTGAGGACTCAGGACTTGAACAAGATAAAGACTTGAAGGCTGAGTTAATTACTTGAAGAAAACCACGCTGCTTAGCCTATCTCTTCAATGGAACATTCTCACCTTCTAGACCACATATCTGAAGTGTAGACTAATGTCAGTTGGCTTTTATTAAGTGTAGACTAATGTCAGTTGACTTTTATGTTTATATTTCTTGCTTGAAATTAAATACATGCAGGCAAAAAACAACAGTACTTTTCTTCCTGAAGGTTTGGTACTAGCTTACCAATAACTTTTGGGAAGTTTCATAATTGTTCATAGCTTTGTATTCCACCACCCAGTAGAAAATAAGAGACCCAGTGCTGGGCTCAGGAGGCCAAGGTAGGAGGATCATTTGAAGCCAGGAGTTTGAGACCAGGCTGGGCAACATACCAAGACCCCATCTCTATTAAAAAAGAAAAAAGATAAGAAGGGACCAAGAAACTTTTCCTCTAGCCTTAAATTCTCCAGTATAATGATTATTTTTTAAAGTTCACATTTAAATTGCTATATGTGCATACAGGATTATTCTGAAAGAAAGATGAACCTCAAGTAATCCATAATTTTTTTTCCCCACTTGTACCAAAAGTTGTGTTTAGGGGACAGTGAAAAGTTCCTATTGTATTTAAATTATGTGCCCTTTATATAGGCCTAATGACCAATCCTAATGGAAATCTTTGCTCTGAGTCATCTGATAGTAATTTAATCCTGTGAAAAATACACATACGTGAGTAATGGTACTAATTAGTCTTTCCCTCATGTGTGTGTGCACACACAAAATCAAAAGCAATAGAACAGCTTAGGTGGCAGAGGACAGCTAATGATGACAGCACACCAGGATACCTGGGTAAAAAGGCATGAAAAACTACCTCAATTACAGATTTGACTGTTTAAATAAATAAACAAAAAAGCAAACAAACAAACAAGAGAACCCTTGGCAAGGATAAATAGCCAAGTGCCAGGACTCAGGTGAATGACTGATTCAACGGCATACAGCTGGAATCCAAGGAAGAATTTGAAAAAGAATAAAGAATATAATTATTCCCATAAAAGATTTGTCTAGCTCCTGGCAATTGTCAAGAATAACTGACAAGATTTTTTTTTTTTTAATCATACTGTAAGTCCTGGGATACATGTGAAGAATGTGCAGGTTTGTTACATAGATATACATGTGCCATGGTGGTTTGCTACACCCATCAACCTGTCATCTACATTAGGTATTTCTCCTAATGCTATCCCTTCCCTAGCTCCCTACCCCCACAACAGACCCCAGTGTGTGATGTTCCCTTCCCTGTGTCCATATGTTATTGTTGTTTAACTCCCACTTATGAGTGAGAACATGTGGTTTTTGGTTTTCTGTTCCTGTGTTAGTTTGCTGAGAATGATGGTTTCCAGCCTCATCTATGTCCCTGCAAAAAACATAAGCTCATCATCTTTTATGGCTACATAGTATTAGATAGTGTATATATGCCACATTTTCTTTAGTCTATCATTGATGGGCATTTGGGTTTGTTCCAAGTCTTTATTATTATGAATAGTGCTGCAATAGACATACATGTGTGTGTATCTTTATAGTAGATCTTAAACAAATTTACAAGAAAAATACAACCCCATCAAAAAGTGAGTGAAGGATATGAACAGACGCTTCTCAAAAGAAGACATTTGTGCAGCCAACAAACATATGAAAAAATGCTCATCATCTCTGGTCATTAGAGAAATGCAAATCAAAACCACAATGAGATACCATCTCATGCCAGTTAGAATGGTGATCATTAAAAAGTCAGGAGACAACAGATGCTGGAGAGGATGTGGAGAAATAGAAACACTTTTACACTGTTGGTGAGAATGTAAATTAGTTCAGCCATTGTGGAAGACAGTGTGGCAATTCCTCAAGGCTCTGGGACTAGAAATATCATTTGACCCAGCAATCCCATTACTGGTATAAACCCAAAGGATTATACATCATTTTACTATAAAGACATCATTTTTTTTTAAAGTAAAATACCTTTCTTCCTTGTTTTGTTAGATATCATAAATTTGGATGAAACTTGGAAGTATTAGTCCAGAAAATTTGCTTTTGAAATGAAAATCCTTTGTTCTTTAGGTACCAAACATTTCTTAGAGCGTTTTAGAAGTTAAGCATCCTATAGCATTTGGCATTAGCTGGGGTCTGATAATAGGAAAAGCAGGCAAAGGTGTCTGCAGCTGAGATTTGGGTAAGCAACCAAAAAGTGATTGGTGTTGTTTTTATTTCAGCTGTATTATTGTCTTCTGCTACCCTAATTTCCAATCTCAAAATTGATTGAGTTCATGGTAAATATTTTGGAATATGATTGTTAAGCTGTCTAGTGTTAGGAAATGGAGAAAGGCCATAAAAATGTTAAAGAAATGAGTGGTTATTTTCTTATATTAGTGGCTAAGAAAAGAATGAAAATAAACTCTTCCCAACCTCACATCTTTCACACCTGCTTTGGATGTCCCAGCACTAAAGCATCTGTGCCTGGAGGTGGGCTCTGTGTGTGTGTGTGTGTGTGTGTGTGTGTGTGTGTACAACTTGGGTATTCAGGGATGCACAACACAGAGGAGGGGCATTATTTTCTGAGTTCTATTTGAAATAGTTAATATAAGACAGCTTAAGAAACACAGCATGGCTGAACTTTTCCTTAAATGTTCCCAAAAGCAAACTAGTATTTTTTTTACTTGATATTATCAGAAACACAAAGTGTGAATTTTTTTGTGTAGTTGAGTGTCACCAGAGACCAGGATGAAGAGAATGAAGTTCCAGAGCCAACCTGGGCTGATGCTGTGCCTGCCACTACTTCATCTGAGGCCACCACTGCCCCCAGGCCACTGCTTAGCTCCCCTGTGGTTGGGGCAGAGGGTAGGTAAACCAGAACTCCAAGTCCCATTTTGATTCTACAGCCAAAAAGTTTGGTGCACAAAGGTAAGAGAGATCTGCCAATCTGCCACTGTATCTACAATGAGAGGAAGGCACAGGGTTACCCAGAGAGAAAATGTTATGATTCTAAACAAAGTGGACAAAATATAGTTTCCATTGGACTATGTGTAGAATTTGAAATCTGGCTGGCAATGGAGTAAATTTGGTCTCTAAAGAATTTCAACACTCTTATAGTATTTATTATTTTAATTGGAATGCCTTTAGAGGGGATTGTGTTCTCCTGTTTGCCATAGTCCCTACTGCTCCCTACTGTCTTACATGTGCCCTTCACACATGTAGGCATTTGAATTTTTGACGCTTTTATTGCACAGGAATGAGAAACAACCTAAAATCTAGATTCTGATTCATTAACATATTTTCTATGAAGTTAATATCTATTAAAAATGTATTATTATATACATATATTCTGTAGAACATGAGAGACTTTTTTGTGCTCAAAGGAAGTTTAGATTAGCTTGAAAATGAATTACACAATATACATTATTTGGTTTTGTTTTTAAGGGCAGAGGTGGTAGAAATCTATGGCTCATTTCCATTAGGTCTAGGGAGTCTTCATAATAGAGGTATAGTTAGATGGAAGTTTTAGAAAATAAATGAACCAAGCCATACTCCAAATCTGGGGAAATGTTTAAGGAAGATAGAGAGAGGGCTGGTTTAGGTATTGCCAAATAAAGCTTATGACATATAAGTCCCAGACAGCAATTATCTATTTGGTTTTTTGTTTGTTTGTTTGTTTTTTGGCTTCTCCCACCTTGGAATCACTTCTTCAAGTAGGAAATACTAATCAAGGCACTCCAGAGTACCACACAATAATAAGGAATTTAGCAAATGAGGAGCTCCATAATTAAAGGAACCTCATTAGGACAATGTGTATTTGTTGTTATAGCTCTCCTGTGCTTTTTTATAGTAGATATATTTCTACGATAAGACTATATGATATTAGAAAATCATACCATGTTTTTAGTGTCCTGCAAGAGCTGTTTTCTTCCTTTTTTTTTCTTTTTTTGAGATGTAGTCTCACTCTGTCACCAGGCTGGAGTGCAGTGGTGCAATCTCAGCTCACTGCAGCCTCCGCCTCCCAGGTTCAAGGGATTCTCCTGCCTCAGTCTCCCAAGTAGCTGAGACTACAGGCATGCGCCACCACACCCAGCTAATTTTTGTATTTTTGTTAGAGACAGAGTTTCATTATGTTGGCTCGGATGGTCTCAATCTCTTGACCTCATGATCTGCCCACCTTGGCCTCCTAAAGTGCTGGGCTGTGAGCCACTGCACCTGGCCTTAAAGCTGCTCTTTAAACAGATAATTGTAATACAAAGAGAGCCCCTCATTTTACTCTTTGGTTTTTTTTTTTTTTTTGGTAACTTAAGGAGTTTTTCTTTCATAGTGGGCAATTGCATATGATCATGGTGGTTCTTTCTGTGAACAGACTGGGAGGAAACGTGAACAGGAAATGGAAATAATTTTTATTCCAAATATTAATTTGATTGTAAATCAAACCTAATGTAAGTGAAAGAAGTCCTGTCTTTCTCCTGTTAACTAATACCCACAAAAGTATTAGCCAGTGAAGTCTCACTTAGGCTTTCAGGGAAATAAGCATTTTTAATACGAGTTCATGAAGACCAAAAACTTTCATGTTTTCAAAAGAATTAATATCTAGTGGTAGAGTTTCAGGTAGTGAGGGAAATATTTTGGGTTTTAGGAAATCCTTCTTTCACTTACTTAGAACCAGATTTTCTTGGTTGGTCCACTAGTGGGCATGAAGAAGAAATCGTTTATTTATATAACTTTATAAGGTGTTTATTTTTTATATCTTCAATATAAGAAAAATCTGTAATATGTTATCCTTTTCTTATTCTAGATCCTAGATGTTTGGAAGCCTTGAAGCCTGGAAACTGTGGTGAATATGTGGTTCGATGGTATTATGACAAACAGGTCAACTCTTGTGCCCGATTTTGGTTCAGTGGCTGCAATGGCTCAGGAAACAGATTCAACAGTGAAAAGGAATGTCAAGAAACCTGCATTCAAGGATGAGCAAGTAAACTGGCTTGTCTCTATCAAAAGCCTAGAACTCCCTAATTTCTGCATGTTCACCCAATACAAATACAGCACTATAGTTGAGTGTATACTGAGTATTTCAACTTATCAATGTAATTGAATTCTCACTACAGCACTAGGATGTAGGTATTATTAACCACTTACATAGATAAGGAAGCTGAGGCTCTGAGAAGTTTAGTAACTTGTCGACTGTCACCCACCTAAAAAGTGTCAGAGCTGAGGATTTAGACTTAGAGCTGTGAAACTGTAATACACAGGCTCTATCTACTTCACAGCCTGCAATGTGATTCTGATTCCTTTCATTCCTGCTGTATGTACTATGTCAGCTCAAACCCCTACTGCTGCCCCTGCCCATACCCCACCTACTCACCTCCCCAACCTCCTTATGTCCCACCTACCCCAGTAGCAAGAGGTAGGTGATAGGAAGTACTTTGGTGTGGAAATTAGAAATGATGGGAATGTTTATGAAGGAGTGCTGGGATAGAAGTGGGGATGATGAGGGTAGTTACATTTTTTCCTCATTTGCTCTGAACGCGGTAATAGGGAAAAATCAATCTGAATTAAAATTAAATAACTTAAATGTTTCACAAACTGTCACTTTGTATTCTTCCAACATGTTTGGTAACAAAGTGTTTAATGTATGTTTAAACAAAGAAGCTTTTTACACCCTTCCATTAAAATACGTACATCTGGGGTTTCCCTTCCATTTTATGGGAGTGGAATGGGAAGGCCGTTGACAATTAAAAACCACTTGAAGTTGACATCCACTCTGGAGCAAGGTGTATTAAAGACAGGACTCACACTGAAAGGTGAGCCACCAAATTGAAACATGAGTAATGGAGAATAACGAAGAATTGGCTCTGTCGTTTTATATAATACTTTTGCAACATCCCGTCTGGGAAGATCATTAGTTCTGAGCTGAGCTCAGACAGCAGCACTTGCATATTTCATCTCACAAAACACTTTCTCCTTCTATCGGGTCTACCCTCATTCAATTCAACAGTGTAAAAAAATGCCCTCAAGGAAGGAGATGGAAGAATAGCCATCTTGGCAGAAATAATATAATTTTATTTAGTTAATTAAAACTGTATTATATAATGTTTGATACTACAAAAGAAGATATGCAACATACTCATCAATTTAAAAACACAATAAGTTGAACACCAGTGAACACATCACCTAGAGAATGAAACAAACATCACAAATTCCATTGAAGCTTCCTGTGTGGCCCTCCACCATCCCAGCCCCTGTTCCATGCCAGGAATATCCCATTTTGAACTTTTTGTTTACCATGTCAATGTGCTGTTGACTTTTATAGGTAATTTTACATGTAAAACTCCACATGTCCCTATGTGTCTCTAAACAATAAATGTTTAACCTTGCTTATTTTAGAGTTTTACAGGTATGGTGTCGGTGTCATATACTAGTCTTCTGCAACTTACTATTTTCATTCAGTGTTATAACTAATTCATATATTTTATGACATATAAATATATTTCTAAATAATTTATTATTTAGTTTTTTGAGCTTTAGAAAATATGCATCATAATATGTAATTTTCTACACTTCACTAGATTTTTTTTTTTCATTTTAAACAAGAAGTTTATTTAAACAACGAGACGCTTGACTTGAAGGGAAAACTAGGATTCTTTTTTGTTGTTGTTTTAGAGTAATTTATCCCTACTTAAAGACAGATTGCCCTACAGGTAACAGCTACGTACAAAAAAGTTATAAAATTGTCCTTGGTTTTACAATGATAAATGAAAAACATTAAAAGTCTCCAATCAAACAAGGTATGCAAGGATTTTTATTTTATTATTTATTTATTTATTTTTTTGTTAAAACAGTGAGAACAAAATAATTTACTGGAATATAAAGATAAGAGCTGAATGAGCATGCCACTAATGGAGAAAGGGGGTATTTTCACAGAATCAGTATTTTTCCCCATCCCGTCTCCACTTGATGTCAATCAAAACATACCATTGGCTGTTAAAAAGAAAAAAAGCAATATGCTTGTACACATATACCAGTTACTTTATGTACAATAAAGGAATGGGGAAGGGGAAAATGAAAGAATAGAGAAAACTATACTGTAGTAGCCAGGATGTGATGGAACCAAATTGCAGTTTTCTAATTGAGAATGTAATCTTGGTCTTTAAAGAACAGAGTTCTGAAGTAAAGAAGCAGCTTCTCTTTTCAGTAGACACCTCCCGTCTGCTGTTGGAACACATCAGTTGTATCTTCATCCTCCATTTCCAACTGTGCAGGTATGTCTGTTTCATTGATTGGTTGCCCGTCAAATCAGGATCTGATCTGCCTCATTGACAATCCCTGTCGTTCATTAGTTTATTAGGCTTTCATTAGTTTGCTAAGTGGTGTATGCCTCTTAATCTTAAACTGCACCACAGAACCATCCTGCCCCACCACTTTCAAATTAATATAATAATTGTTCTCAGTCTTGACTCCTTCCTTGGGCTTTTTGTCAGCCATGGTGAGTGCTGGAGTCTCCTCAGCTGCCGCTTCACAAAAGCGGTACCAGGTCTGCACCGAACAAGCACACCAGCAGCACCAGCAACTCACTAGATTATTTTATTATAATTTTTACATTTTCATTTACTTCCACAGTTGTATATTTGTGTGAGTATACCACTATATATATATATATATATATATATATATATATATATGTATATACATATATATATATATATATATATAATCGTAAGTTCTTCTATTTTATTTTCATCAGTATTCCAACACTGTTGCTGTGAATGCTCTTATTCATGTCTCTGGGCACACATACACCAGTGTTTTTCTGAGGTATAGTCTCCAAATTAGGATTGCTGGGTTACAGAGTATGTAAACATTCAAAACCAGTATATCATATCCATTTTATTCCTGAAGTGTCTGAACCAATTTATTATAAATTTCTGTCAGTTGCATATAAAATTCCCATTGCTTGATATTCTCATCAACACTTAGGGTTATCAGATGTCTTTATTTTGCTAGTAAATGTGTAAAATGGTATATTGTTTTATTTTATTTTATTTTATATTTATTTTTGAGGTGGAGTCTTGCTCTGTTGCCCAGGCTAGAGTGCAGTGGTGCTATCTCAGCTCACTGCAGCCTTCACCTCCCAGACTCAAGTGATCCTCCCACCTCAGCCTTCTGAATAGCTTGGACTACAGCCACCTGAGATGGAGCTTTGCCATGTTGTTCAGGCTGGTCTCAAACTCCTGGCCTCAAGTGATCCATGACAGCCTCCCAAAGTATTAGGATTATAGGTGTGAGCCATTGCATCTGGCCAGTATATTGTTCTTATTTACCTTTCTCTGATGACACCTTATCATGTTTACCTACCCTCTGTGCTGCTGCTTCTGTGAATTACCTGCTTATAATTAGGAAAGATTGTCTTTGTTAGATTTTTTGTCTTTTCCTTATTGAATTTTTGAAATTCCTGTATATCTGAAATCTAATTCTTTGCTAATTATTTGTGTTGCTAATATCTTCAAAGCTTGTCTTTTTACTTGTTTATTTTTGTTTTACAAACTCAATTTTATTGCAGTCCAATTTACCCGCATTTCCTTTTGTGGCTGGCACTTTTGTTCCTTCTTTATGCCACTCAGCCTCTCAGCCTCTCAGCCATCTTTCTCAGGTGAGAAACTTCCCTAGGAAAAAAAATGACTCTGAGTGCTGGCTCCACCTCAATAGATAATCATCTTTGTGCCAGGTAACTTCTTAGCAGCCCTTAAGCTCTTTGGTGTCAGAGGCATCCAAACCAGAGTAACTCCACCTTGAATAAAGACTGCATAAAGCCAAACCTGCTGGGTTACATTCCCAGGAAGTTAGGTACTCTTGGTCACAAGATGTTTATGGTTAAGGAAACAAGTTAATAATGCTAACTAATTAAGTAAGACTCAGAACTTATGCAAGTGTCCCAATAAAGAAAAAGCATCCTTAGTTTAAGAGTTTCACTTTAAAAATAATAATATACTCACAGATTCTTGCTGAAATTAATAGTTGCAGAAGAGAATAACAATGCTAATAGCCTGTCACTAGCTGATCACGAGCTTTTATAATAAAGCACATTATTTTTAGCTCTAACACCCTATATAAGCAAATATTATGTTTTAAGTAGGGGCGTTCCTCCTCTTGCTTTTTGAGGACACCCTACTCTGTAATACAAGTAGTGCCCAATAAACTATCTTAATTTCACTATGCTTTGCTACTTGCCCTGAATTCTTTATGGCATGCCATCTGTGAACCTGCTCTTGGGGATCTGGGTTGAGACCCTTTTCTAGTAACATCGGTGATTTCTAGGTGCTTAAAAAGTTTTTTGGGGGCTGGGCGCGGTGGCTCATGCCTGTAATCCTAGCACTTTGGGAGGCCGAGGTGGGCAGATCAGTTGAGGCCAGAAGTTTCAGACCAGCCTGGGAACATGGCAAAACTGTGTCTCTACACAAAATTTTAAAAATTAGCCAGGCCTCATGGTGGGTACGTGTAGTCCCAGCTACTTGGGAGGCTGAAGTGGGAAGATCACTTGAGTCCAGGATGTCAAGGCTGCAGTCAGAGTGAGACCAAGACCCCATCTCTGAAAAATAAGAAGTTTTTTTGCTTTATCTTCTTTAGTTGTCCTTAGCATGAAAATGAGCATAAGATATAGAAATAGACTTTCCTATATTGTTGTAAGTAAAATTTTGATGCTACAAAAGAAATAGCACTCTAAGATATGCCCTCTCAGCAACGCAATTTATTCTATAGAAGGGTGCAGGGTGCAAGGACAGAGCAATGATGGTCACCACAGCTTGGACAAGGTGGGAAGGGGCACTTTTGCCTGACGGAGGTCATCCCTATTGCTGTGTCATCCACTATTGGCTAGGGTTAGACCGCACAAGCTAGACTAATTCTGATTCGCTTTTTTTTTTAAGTAGGGGTCAGGGCTGGAGTGACAGGGTGGGTGTTTTGGTGGGATGGACGGTGATGGGTGTGTCAGAGCAGGTAGATCAGGTAGCCAGGGGGATGAGTTAGGATGGGACGGTGTGGGAGATTAGGGGGTTAGATGTGAAGTACTGATTAGAACCAGAGGAGAAGGTTGTTTACTACAATTACAAGGTACTAAACTTTGAAATAGAGAATTACAGAATAAGAGAGCTGAAAATACTGACATACTGATTTTTTGAAGAGAAACCTCGGATTCACTATAACCGTATCTTTTGTTGTGGGATGGAGAGCTATGGGTATTTTCTGGAAGCTCACATTGCATTAAAAAGTAGCTATCAGTCACCATATTGTTGTTGGAAAGTAGAAGGACCCTTTAGAATGTCTAGGCTGTTATTTTGACAGGAGCAAAAGTACTTACATTTCTTGTTCAAGCTTTTCACAACTTTGCCCACATAGACAACTGATATGCAAACATGTTGTAATGTTGACTTTGGTGCTTGTCCCTTTGTCTGCAATGTCCTTCTCCTCCCTCCCTGACTGACCACATCAATGCTGCAAGGACAAACTGAAGGCCTCTTCCTTTGCAGTACCTTCTCATCTCTATGAATTGAGCAGCAACCAATATAAGTAGCTGAGACACAGGTCTCAATGATCGAGGTTTCTTAAGCCAGCTTTAGAGAAAATCCAGGAAAATCACCCATCCAAAGAGGCTTTCAGAAGGTTTAGTATTTATACATATCTGTAAAGTGGGGAAGGCACGTAGGAAGAGGGGCAGCTAGGCAGTAAGACAAATAGTTATATTCCCGTGTGTCTTTCATTAGTGCCTAGTAAATCTATATTTTACACAAGACAAGGTGAAGATCTAAAGAGAAAAAGGGAGTAAAGCAAGAGCCAATCACGGAGATGTCTCTGGGCAGGTGGAGGAAAGATTGATCTCTTGTCTTCATTCTGCACCTGGGAAGATAAACTTGTAATCAACATTATCAGTGTGGAATTGAACAGACTTTAGTTTTAGGAGCTAAATTTGGATTGTAGACCTATAGTTATGATTGGCATGTCCTTGTTTGTGGGAGGCCAGGAAAGAATTTACCTATGACTGATCTGTCGGGGGCAGTCCTTTCCAGATGCCTAACGCCTTTTACCTTTCCATGGGGATCTGGCTGATGCACAATGTTAGTAACAGCTATTCATTTGGAAGAGAGTAGTGCAATGACTCAGCCCCCAGGCTTAACCTTTCCTTTTGCATAAGATTTTGGGGAGGTCCTGAGATTTTTTTCCTTTCGCTTACATGTTCCACTCACTCCCAACACTGAGGACCCAAAGCACTTGGCTTATGTCTCCATTCTGCACACTGATGTCAGGCTGAGCTACTTTGCTCTTAGTTGAGGCACATCAGCATTAATTTCCTTTTGCTGCTGTAACAGATTTGGTGGCTTAAACAACAACAATGTGTTATGTTGTAATTCTGTAGGTCAAACGTGTGATGCAGGTTTCAATGAGCTAAAATCAAGGTGTCCATAGAGCTGTGTTCCTTCTGGAGGATCTGAGGGAGAATTCATTTCCTTGTCTTTTCCAATAACTAAAGGCCACCCACATTCCTTGGCTCATAGTTCCTCTATTTTTAAAGCCAGTAACGGCAGGTTGAGTCCTTCACCTTCTGCCATCCTTCTGGTTTTCTGAGTAAAGCTGGGCAAGATGTTCTGCTTTTAAGGACTCATGTGATTAGATTGGGCCCACCTGAATAATCCAGGATAATCTTGCCACCTCAAAGTCCTTAAGTTTAGTTACATCTACAGAGTCCCTTTTGCCATGTAGGGTAGCATATATACAGGGGGGATTAGGGAGCAGACATCTTTGGGGCCTTTATTTCATTTACCACAGCAGCCGTGTCCTCTGCCTGCTCTCTGAGCTACTTATGAGCAAAGACATGCCTTGTTTGTCTTTGTGTCCCTAGTTCCTTAAGTGTAAGATGAACTCAATAAATTTTTAAAAAACCAAATTGAGCATATTTTATAAAAGTCATTACAGGAATAGTTAGCTACTTGCAAGAGGGAATAGAAAAAGATCAGAAAACAAAATAAAACAAAACAAACCCACACTAGTTTAAAAGCAGACTAAGAGAGGAGGGAT